TTTTTTTTTTTTTTTTTTTTTTTTTTTTTTTTGTATTTTCATTTGGATTTAAATGCTGGCGTTACTCATTTAGCTTGAGGAAGTTCTGAGACCAGAAGGCGCACTGAACAGATCTAGACAATTGCGAAATCCGAGGGTAATTTATAAACTCGTTTCTTCACATTTTCATTTGGACCGCCAGCGGTAAGCATTCGGCTTGAGTAAGTTCTGAGACGAATAGGCGCACTGAGCAGATCTACATGCCCAATTGCAAATTCATATTTTACTATGCGTTGTCTTCGGGGTCGCCGTTGTCATTGCTTAAGGTCTCGACTGTCTAAAGAAAGCATGTATGTTGTTTATATAAGACAAGCGTCAAATTCTCATTTCAACTGGATTTTCCGAAAACGAATTCTTAAGGTTTAGAGGCATAAGTTGGTATAACGTCACTATAGTGCGAATGAAAAGAAATGCTCTATCGAACGCTGTGTACATTAATATTGGGAAGGCGAAAGTTTATCAATAGTTTCAAAATTGCCGGCTCACCATCTCCATATACTTCAAAGATTGGTAATCAGTTGCTAGATGGAATACTGTTTACTTCTCTCGGGAATGTTCATGCATTTAGATTGACCAAAATATTAAAAACATACCTAACCCCCTTCTTAAATTTGAATTCTCCCCTGGATTCTTTCCTTGAAGCCGAAATGGCCGACATTGGTCCGTTGAAATATACATATTTTTTAATTTTTTGTTCGAAGAGGCTACATCTCTGAAAGGCAGCCGAGAACGGTCTTAAATCAGACTAAATGCCCGACAGTGTAAAGTTTCACAAATTTTGAAGGGAAATTCTTCCTTCAACTTCATGAGAGCATATTAAAAAATCGCCATGTTCTCGGATGTCGCGGGTACGGCAGGTGTCAAATGGACTAATGCTCAAAAACAAAGATTGTTACAGATGACAATGTTGGAGTTGGACTGCATGGTATTTAGTCATCAGTAAAGATTTATTATATCAAAATTCATATTTTACACCTCTCAGGGCTGTAGTCAGTATCATGAGGCAAACAGACTGAGGTACGTGCCTCAGTCATTTTTTCGTTTTTCTCCGTTGCTGTTTTTTTCTGAAAGGGGAAAGTAGCTCATTTCAAAATACCAAGGAAGAGAACTTAACGATGGACATTTCCTCACTTATAATTTGTTTTCTGGCTACGGCCCTGACTCCTGCTGCCTAGCCGTGGAAGTTTTGCAGATCGTAAGTTTCCTGATCACATTCAAAAACAATAAAAGTAAATATGTTGTTTCGGTTCGTCCTCGGCTTGAAAATCACAGAAGAAATCATGGAAGTGTAGACGTTCTCGCCTCCGTACTAGAGCACAAAAGAATTGTAGGGGCGCGGGACAAACACGAGACGTACTCTCGGTGTTTCTCCCTACTTTTTGAGTGGTCTAACGTTTCCTAAGTTCTTTACTATAGAACAGAGCACAGTCGAGGCTTTTTTATTTTGCTTTATGATAAAGAATCCATTCATTTCCCCGCACATTCAACTAATATTTCCAAACCAAAATTTATTTTCAATCGAGGAAAAGTGGCGTTAGCGTAGATCTGTCTTCTCATAACGTACGCTAAAACAAGCCAGTCACAATCCTTGTTAGAATTGTTCAAGTAAGTTGATTGGCTGATGAGATAACAGCTGTCAATCACAAACTGGACGTAAGCTCAACTTTCGGCTACTAATGGCTTTCAAGGGAAGAACGATCGTTTCAAAGCTCGCTTTTTAGTTTAGTTTTAAGATAAGGATCGAAAAGTAGCTAAAAGTGACTTGTGCAGTATAATCTGGTCGAGTTGTGGTTCATGAAAACATGTGCTTTTCCTATGAAAATTACGAAACAGCTCTTAAATCTTGCAGACGAAAATGCTGAGTTGAATATGAAAGGAGTTGGAAAGACTAAGTTGCTCCCACTGGTTTCACTCCGAGAAGAGAATATATAGAGCTGGAGTTTCAACTGATCACTTATCGAATGAGCGTTGTAACTGTCGAAGTTCACTTCGCTGAGATGAACGGAGATCGCTATATATTCGAACGAGTGTTATTATACTCTATGTTGTTTGTACATTTTTACAAAAATAAAACTTCTTGTCATAAATACTAGTAGCTCAACTGGTGTTTACTGCCGTTGTTTTACATGTAAAGTATAATTTCTGCCTTCGTAATAAATATGTCTTTCATCGAAGTATTCGATAGATTGAGAATATTTCACAGTATGTGATTACCGTTTTGTTGGTATCTAGCCAGTATCTAGCAAAACTAGTAATTTTAGTAATATAAACAACTCGTTTCCACTGCGTAATTTATTATAATTTGGACTACAGTAATAATAATGATGATGATGATGATGATGATGATGATAAAAGCTTTATTTATACAAGTTAAGGTTAAAAGTAAAACAAGAAACTACTAAATATGTACAAAAACCTATACGCTACATTTGTGTTGTGCGTTATGTAATTCTATTAAAAAGTTAAAGGTTTTAATTTTAAGAATTAAAAAAACTACTTCATTTATTTTCGTTATAAATAGTCTTATTGCTAGTATCTTGAAAATGCTGCTGATGTTCTCTCTCACGACTTATAGGAACATATTCTCTTTTCCCTCAGAATGATGAAAATCTTTGTTTTAGTTCTCTGCGCAAGTTTGCATCTTGGCAGTGCAGGTATGTATTTTAATCGTCACTGAGTATCTTGACTGTTTTGTTTGTTGATGTGTAATAAGACAGTAATGTATCGAAGGTTCACTGTTCAGTGGACTTCGCTCAGCCTTTCCCAGGAAGTGGTCATCATTTGCATAATCCTATCACACGACCTTATCCAAGAGAAAATAAAGTGGTCTCTTGTTTTATCAAAGCTTTCATACTTTAAGATTTACAGGCTATGGCCTTGAATACCCCCCTCCAGCTCCTCAAGACAAAAAAAAAAGCCCGGATAGAACAGAGTTCAGCATCATGACGTAATTTCATGACGTCACTTCTATAGTACAGAGTGTAAACCGTTGTCAAAATGTAGTATGGGAAACAAACAGAGATATGCGATTACAATATCCAAACTCCTGCAGCTCTAAACGACGTGCCAGTGGCCAATACGTTCTTATTGTTTTAGATTCTTTTGACTCCTTTAACTTCACTTCAATTGAACGTTTTGTCGACTTAACGTGGTATCCGGTTATCCCTATAAAGTTTTCTTCAAGATACTTACAGCTCGGAGTGGAGATTATCAGTTTTCAACACTTATGAACCGTTTCAGATCTAAATCGTATTATTCTGGCAAACAGCAACTTTTTTTTTTCTGTAGAATCAAAGTGGCTATGAGCCACTGAACTTGCAAAATGGATTGTCTGTCAGACAACATGCAGTGACAATTTTGATGCCATGCACCGACTTAAGGTTTTAATCCGTAGGTTAAGTTAAAGTTAAAGCACACTGGCAAAACGCAACTGTAAGAGAATACACGAGGAGATGTGGCAACGTTTGAAACATTCATGAAGTTATTGGTGATCCCCGTTCGAGACAATTATAAATAAAGTACGCTTCTTGTCCGATCAGCAAAGCAAGTATAATCGGATTGTCATTTTCATTTCTATTTTTTTCGTTCTTTATTTTCCCAGGCGATTTTTGCTATCAGTGATTTTTTTCTATCTTTGTCACCTTTTGAGAGATCTTAGAAACGAAAAAAAGTTATCCAACGTAGGGTCATCATACCACAAAGACAGCACCGCGTCGACGCGTCCGCTCAACAAAGTTAAGCCCTGTTCGGCGGGGTTCCTTCATGCTTGGATGGGTTACCAAATACCAATCCCCCATGTTGTAATAACTTTTCTTTTTCTTTTCTTTCTTTTTTTTTTTTTCTTCTTCCCTTTCCAAGGCGATATTAGTGACCCCTCGGAACTCCCAGTCTTGTGTAATGCCTTTTGTTTTCTATTTATCAACTATTTTGTTCAAATCATTTCGCCATGTAAGTAAGTAAGTAAGTAAAAGCTTTATTAATGTGTCAATGTATTTATCTTTGAAATATAGCGAAACGCGTCGTTCGAATTCTCCTCAATTCTCTTGTCTGTTGATCGTCCAAAACTTTTAATCACGGATTGAATCATAATTCGAACATTCATACAGCTCATCAATTTTGTGATTTTCAATATCCCCTCAGTTTTCGGCAATCGAGTACGGTTAAACTTGTATAAGCGGACACCTTCGGGAAATGAGCTATTTATAACTTAATAGCTTCTATATATAAAAACGTTCGTGCGAAAATCTATTCAATGTAGATCATTTCTGTGGTAAGATATTGAGCACTTGCATCAGAAATTCAAAGAACGACTAACTAGACACGGTGCAATCGACTGTAAAACGGCCTTGGACAGCGCGATGTTCGAAACCCGGAAGGACTCCAGTATGAGAAGGCCGGAGATGCTCGTCGTCTCGGGTAGAAATCAGGAATTCTGGTCTCGATTAGAGTGTTGATGACGAAACGTCACCATCCTTAGCTGTCAAAGTATCCTTTAGGGAGCAGTCGAAGAAATGATAATAAAAGAAACGTTATTTGTTTTCCGCTGATCTCTCGAGTACGCGAGTGGGGTCTAAAAGTGCGCGCGAGATCCTTTCTTGAACAGTGGCAAGTAATCGAACCTATTCCGCTTTAAGTGGTATCAAATTTTCCGACGCGCACGAGCATCCCTGACCTTCTCATATGGGAGTTTCCCCAGGATTCCAAATGTCTAACAGGAAGTGAAGGAGTGAAGGAGTGATGGAGTGAAATCGTCCCACCACTACAAATTTCCAAGTTAAAAATGAGGAAAATATGAAACATTTTGTGGCTCGAATGAAAGCTCTTAATTTGGCGCCAAGAATGGGTCGCCCGCACTCGGTAATTCGCTCTTTCAACGCTGTCACCAGGCAGCATAATAGTTGTGCCATTGAGAACAAAATGTGCTATTCCTTGTCAAATCAAACTCAGATTTACCCAGTTAAGTATTAGAAGAGGCCAAAGCAACTTAAGCATTGCCTTAATATTTTGCTAGCTGCAAAGAAAA